CCCTCTCCAGCTCTGCTCGTTGGAAAAAAAAAAAGTCAAAACCCCCACAAGCCCGCATATAAACACAGTAGGATAGGAAGGACCAATGCTGTGACGTTGGAGCAAGTCCAGCTTGAAAGTTGATGCGTAAATCTCAGTTGTATTGCTCAAAAGGGTAACGAGACTTTGTACCTTGATTCCTTTCCCCATCTTGTAATTAATTCCTTTTTATGGTGATCTATGTCCGGTGGTGATAAGTGCCACAAAGTTTCTGTTTGCCAGGGAATCCCATTGGAAAAATCCTTTTACTACCATTTAATTTTACTTCTTCCATTCTTACTTCAAAGGAGTAAGGTAAAATTTAGATAAGTAGGAAGAGAAGTTCTTTAAGAGGGTGGGGTTTTTATTATGTGCAGGTCATGCAAAACAGGTCTCTTAATTTTTAGTTTGATAAATGATATCTGATGCTGTGGGGCATCTTTTATGTTCTTTGATAGATGGGTCTAAAATGAGACTCTTTCTAGCAAGCAAATCAGGCATTAATTTTTTCATAGATTGTTTGCCAATTTTTGGTGTTTGATCACTTTTTAAAATTCCCTTGGCTTGTATGTTGAAAAAAAAAAAAAAAAACCAAACAAAAAGCAACTAAACCATTTAAAATGCTAGTACATTGAGTAGAATTTTTTTTAAAATAAAATATTGCTTTGCCAGAGATGGAGAAATACCCTACTGTGGTAGATATACAGGCTAGCATACACTTTCAGAAATTGATGTTTGTTTGCAGCCTGAAAAGGGTTGATTTCCGGACTGATTTCTTGCTACAGCTGCACCAGAAAAATGTTACTGAATGTACAGACTCTATGAACTTAGTGAAATGGGAAACCTATTAAACCAACTTTAGTTAAAATCAACCAGAATTGTCATCTGATCATACAGCTTTCTCACAGGTAAGGTCTAGCTGCTGCAAACTAATTTTGAGCCACATGAAAAATGAACTTAAAATACTGGTTAAGTGTGTAGTGCAGGTAAATATGAAGAATTCTAGTATTTGCTTGCCAGTGGCTACTGTGTTATTTTTCTTACATTAATTTGTCCGTGTTTCTTTTCTGTCTGTCTCTCGCTACTTGTATTATTCAAGAACATGGCCCTTCCAGTACATTCTTGCTAAGCAGACTGAAGACCAGAGAAACCTTTATCTCCAGGAAGCATTTGCTGGTACTGTTGTATTGGTTTACTTGCTCCAGCCAGAATAAACTGGTTTGGTTTCTTTGGTTTCTTCATGCTGTAGGATTTTCTGCAGCAGAAATTTTGTTTAAAAGAAGAAACAAGGCAATCTGTAAGTCCAGGCAGGGGTACTGTGGAGGGAAAATTGTAGTGGAGACCTAGCTGAAACTGATTCTGTAGCACTGAAAAACCTGAGATCCTAGCTCTGATGACCACAGGGTCAAAGTCACGGATGAGGGGAGAACAAAAGAGTCCCAGTGATGCCTTCAGAGTAAGCTACTGTTCTAAAAACTAAAGTAGCAAAATGAACTGTTTCCGTGTCTCTGTTTTTTGTCCCTACATTCCTGTAAGAATTGCGTCAGGCTAGTTTTGTTAAGGTTCATAGCAGAAAACCATTGGTACTAAATCTGGAAAAGGAAACTCTTGATATGTACTGCTGGGCAGTCCTGTCTATTTAATGTTGTAATGCAGCTCTTTGGAACATTTCCCAATGTCTCTCTAAAATGATTGCATTACAGCTTAATGATGGGTAAAATCTGCCTAGGTTGGCTGGAATAAGGAGGAACATGTAACTAGGGAGCGGAATGGTGGAAGAAGAAGAAGTAGTGGCAGAAAGGCTTTCAGTGTATGAGATGAACGTGACTGCTTGGCTTAAACCAGAAGAGGCCTAGATGAGGCCAGTCTCCCTGGCCTCTGATACTTGGCTATGTGGTGTTGGACAATAGTATACCCTAGCTGGGGAATTTTATTAGCTTTGCATAGTGATACAAGGTAAATGCAGCAACATGCAGCTCTCCTGTTTTTTTTTGTGTAAGTCTTTGTGCTGCACTAATGACACTGACTTTTCTTAGTGTGCAGATTTCTCTGCTCGTTGTATTCTTCGACACGGTTTTGCTGGAAGCTGCAGGAGGAAATGCCTTCAGTGAAGTGAGGAGAGAGCATGCATCTCTGGCCTACAGTTAGCAAGGATCTGAAAAGGATTTTGAAGAACAGTAAGCACTCAGCTGCTTTTACCCCATGCTGCAAGGGAAATGCAAGCAATTACAGTCCTAACCAATGCACGGTTCAGGTCTCAACTTGGACCCTTGCAGACCGCAAGTTTGTTACTCCTGCAACAGATGCTCTTGTATCCATATGTAATATGTACTGACTTGCTAGGTGGACACCAGCGTGTCAGACTTGTGTGTGGCAACTCCACTTCAGCGGTTAAAAGTAATCATCCTGCTAGCCTTTGCATTTTAAGAATTAATCTGGGTCTCTGTTTTTTAAAGGCTTCTAAAATTTAACTTCAGGTGGACATCCAAAAGTTTCTGGGCTTTTTCTCTGTACTGGAAAGAACAGCATTGCACATGGCATTTTAAAACTGTGAAAGCTGTGTAATCCTTTGCAATCAAACTTTCTCACACATGAATGACTCGTATTAGATCCGAGTGTCTTTTCAGACTTCTGTATCCCAGTGTGTGAATGTGCAAAATAAGAATTCCTTGCTAAAGGAAACTTTCTGTTAATAATTACTTTTGAAATGCTGTAGTCATTAGTGTGTTTTACATGGTGTAATTTAAATTTAACTGTAACCAAGACATGCTCATACCTAGCCATGCAAGTGGACTTGGCAGGAAGTGGTAGCACATGTCACCAGGCTTGCTCTACGAATGTTTGCAGCTCACCACTTCCTGTTACTGAACTGAAAGAACAAAAGAAACGCTAGTTTCTAGTTCGTTTTAGCTTCTAAAAAGTTGCAGTTGCATTTGTATTTGTTAAAATTCTTAGCATCATAACAGAGGTATTTATGGCCTTCCCCTTTATATTCTTCTTTTAGCTTTGAAATTCATCTTTATTTGAGAATTTTGGTGAAGTTCCTACTAGAAATCTTAAGTGCCGAGAAGATATTTCTTTGTGCAGATCCTGAGTTTAAGAAGCAATCAAAAGAATGGTTGTATAAATCATTTTGGTGCTGCCAGGGAAATGACAAACCGCAAGAAACCACTCTGTGCAAGGCATGGATTGGCGCACGTGGGTATCTACCTGCAGCACAAGCTTGCTTTTTCAGAAAACCATCCCTACAGGAGTCTTTCAGTCCATGCAGGATTATCTTTAAACCACAGTAGTCTGAATCTAGCTTTCCCAATGTTGTTAAACTTAATTCTAAGACTTCCTAGACACAAGGGAGCTTTTAAAGCTGATTTAATTTACTGTTGTCTGTGATGCAATACCCTTTCCAGAAAAGTCTGTATTTGTGCTTTATAACCATTACACCTTTGAGGCCAAAAGAAAATCTATGCAGAGCAAAGGTCATTTGGTTTTAGACCTGAATACAATTACCTGTGATTTCAGCAGGTGTTGCACCTAGTTAGGAGAAAAATCTGTACAACAGGAGAGACACAAAATCCTATCAAATGTAAAATGGAAACACTCGCCAAACTTCTGTTACATATAATAAGGATTTTTTGAAGTATGCATCATTTTTACATCATTTTTAGAAGAATGCGTGTTAATGAAAGTATCTCTTTGCCTGTAAATCTACTACTGAATCTTGGGAAACTGCAATTGTAGCAGTAGTCATAGCATTTTAAATTAATGCAATTAATTATATGCTGTTAAAAGTGCTGATGTGATATTTCTGCTCATAATTTGTACTCTAACTAATGTGCTAAACTACGTAGCACATAAAGATTAAGTGGATAAAGCTTGGTATTTTCAGTATATTAAAATATTAATATCGCATGTGAGAAGAATGAAAGTCAAATAGTTAATTAATGCACATATTTCATATTCAAATGCTACTTAATACATTAAAAAATCCTGTTGCTTCCTATTTAAGTGAGGGATGAATTCTTAAAGCTAGAAACAGCATTTTCCCAATTAAGATACTCTTGATAATTGTCACTTAAATTACATCTGATAAAAGAGGAAATTACATAAAATTACCTATACCCACCCCACCCCACCCCCAATCTTTTACAGACTATGACTAAATATCAAGTAACTATTTAAGATTCAGTGAAGAACAAAAATGGGCCATTAGTTTCAAAGCAGAGTAATTGGGAGGTACATGGGGGTGGCTGTCCTGGGATTCAAAAATCTGGCAATCATGTGGTGGGACTTGAGCAGTCTCAATTTGCGCTATGTTATAGTACAGGTTTAGATATGTGAAAGTTCATGTAGTCCAGGGTAAAGTCTGTTTGGAAGTGTTGGGTTTGATTCATGCATCCTTCTAAACCTTAAAAGACATTATTAAGCCCTTCTGAAATAATTACTTTTTTTTTTTCACTTATGGCTTAAAATCTGTCTTCAAAATCAATATCAGAACTGGTGGGTACCATGTGGAAGTATAAGGGGGGGTTGCAAAGGAGAGAAGAGTTTTCTTGTTACCTTTTGGAGCTTCCTAGAAAGTCTTAAGTTACTCCTAAGTTCTTGAAAAAAATCCCATGCATGATCTACTTCAGCCTCCTTTGGTAACTATCTGTATAGCTTTTATCTCCTGTGATGCTTTACCATTTACTGTGATGTCTGATTAGGCTGCATTAAACATCAGTTTTCAAAAGTAGATGCCAGTTTTGAAAAGGAGCAAAGGGGTCACAGTATGTATTTTTTTCTCAGAGCAGAGGTTCAAGGGAATTGATTTGAACTGCAGGGGCTATTCAGAAGCTGAGAAAAATATGCATTCAAACTGGTGACCTTATCAGTGTAAAATGGAAGAATTTTGAGATTAATTCTTACTCTCATAATCTTGACTAACTCTAGGAGTGAGTCTGAGTGTGGTCTATTTTCATTGTGTGGAATAATTTACCCTTGACATGTGGGATGCAGCTGAAAACCTTTGTGCATCCTCAGCACTTCCTAGTGTTTGGAAGAAATTACAACTTCAGAATAATTCTTTTGCCTCAGTTTGCTCTTACCAACTTGTCAAAAGGAAATGGAACACTTCCTTTTCATTTATTGCAAAACTTAGAGTATCTCTTTCTCTGGCAGGAATCGACTTTAAGATCAGAACAATAGAATTAGATGGAAAGAAAATCAAGCTACAGATATGGTAAGTATTCCGAAGTAATTAAAGTGTTCAGTGGGTCTTGAATTATCTTTGAGCAGCAATACTTTATTGCTTTTGAGCCTGGGTGTACCTGATGTTTCATACCTTTTATTCATTGACTGGCCATCAGGTTTATGCTTGCTTCTAGCTTGCTCTTGGAGTGGTTCTGCTTCAGTAGCACAGGAAATAACCTTTTCACATGTGAGCATTACAGCAACTTCCTATTTTATCAAAAGCTGCTCTCTTAAATGCGCTTTTAGCTATTCTGGGTGGAAGAGAAGTATTAACTCCATAGCTGTAAACTAAAACATACAACCTAATAAAATGTAATTTCCTCTGATACTTTGATATCCAGTTTTACTCACAAAGGCACAGGTGAGTGGTCATACTCCTTTGCGTGGTGGGTTAGTAGAGACTGAGCCTCCTGATAGCAGCAGATGAGTATTTTTGGAGTAGCATTGTTACATGTGCCAAACACTTTAAATGCTACTGGTGTGTGTAGGGCTCTTGCTGATTTCTCAATTTCTAGCAAAGATAGTCGTGATACTTGCATGCAAGCCAGAATTCGTGTGACTAAGGAAATGAAGTGCCAGAAGTGGTTGGTACAGATTTTCTGTCTGGTATGTAAGTCAAAAAGCTGTTTTTTTGTCAGGCCTGTGGGGTTCAGCTCCCCCTAGGTGTGACTGGTAGCCAAACACTTTGGTCCTCTTCTTCACTCACAGACAGATACTGCTTTGAAGTCATCTAGGATAAAATATCAGCACACTAAGGTATAGTGGCTGATTTTAATAGCTAACTGTATGTGAAAATGCACTATTCTAAAATATTTGCTGCATGTTTTCATTTTTGTTTAATGCAGGACTTGGATGCATCAGAGCTGCCTTATTTAATTATTCTAGGGAAGGCTGTGTAATGCTGAGTTTTATTGCTTGCATGAAAATTTAAATGCTTTTGTGCCATATTTTTGGTGCTGCTATAACCACTTGTAAGTAGGATAGCTTGGGAGTGAGGAAGATGTTGAGGGCTGAAAAAACTTGTGCAAACAGCTTCTAAATGGTATTTTTTCTTAATAGTGATTATCAATACATTGCTACTCTGTTTAAAAAGACATCTCTAAGTACAGAAGAGCATAAAGTTCACCTCCAACAAATACTTGTTCTCACTGAATTTTAGGGATACAGCAGGCCAGGAGAGATTCCGCACAATCACAACAGCTTACTACAGAGGAGCTATGGTGAGTGCTCTCACTTCAAAAAAAATTAGGCACAACTAGTGTAACTGGTTTGCTGTTCTTAAGGTTATATCATGTAAGTCTTGAACTGGAGGATTGGATAATTGTGGCTTGAGATGCGGGGAATAAAATTTGTGGTTTCATTGGGGTTTTTTTTGTTTTGGGGTTGTTTTTGTTCTTCATTTTTAGACCTGCTGGTACTTTGCCTAGTTCTGTTTTTGTGATGAAACTTCAAGACCTATTGTCATCTTTAATATAATTAAAATTTCTGCAGATATAATAAGCTAAGTTGCTAAGCTTTAACCAGACACATTTTTTTTAATGCAATCAACCCCTTTAAATATTTGAAGTGTTTGAAAAATAGGTACTGAATGATTTTAATATGAAAAGTGTATTTCACTGAATTGCTTTTCCTTCAGCCAGTAGAGAATGAAGAATTTGGGCGAGAAATACAGTCACCTACAAAAGCTACTGTTACTTTTTCTTCCATTGAGAAGGACTTGAAGTCAAATAACTGACTTAGAACCTGCACTCTTTGTGGCACAACTGCTTATAGTGGTTCTTAATGCTATGATTTGAGATACTTTATGTTGGGACACTGTTAATTTCAACTTGCTGATTACTAGCTATGCTGCTACTGCATGTTCTTACCGCTTTTTGTGAACATATCCGTTCCATTCATAGGCTGGCTGTGGGTCCAAATAACTCCACTGTTACAGAATACAGATGGGGAGAAATAGTAATGGTTGTGGCTCTGTGTTAGAGCCTTCTAGTACTTAAAAAGGATTTGGCAGTGACGTGGTCTTCTCCACACCTCCCAGTCCATGGCCAAGGACTTTTCTTTGTCCTATGAGGAATGATGTGAAAGGCAATAAGGAATGGAGGTGAACCTGGCAATCTGTCCGTAATGAAGCTGTTGTGTGGTTTCCCATGCTTTGCTAACTGTTGAGAGCCTACACTAGTATACATACATAACTGTCTGAAAGAGCTAAAGCTTCTGGGAGAGTACCTAGTGTTAGCTTTGCTGTAAGTATCTACTGGCCCCAGCAGACTGGATCTCACAGGTCTGTCATCTGTGACTGCTTAAAGCTGCTACTTCTAAACTTGACTTTAACAGTAGAGTCCTGGTTGCTGTTGTAGTAGAATTTCTAAACTTTTCCTGACTAGGCTAATAATCTAAAACTTCATATTAGGTGCTGTCTTTGACCTCTAACAGTGACAAAAAACATTAGATAGTAATATTTTCGGTAAATTCTCAGTAGTGGCATAGTGCTTTGAGAAAGGATTATAAGGGCAGAAGTCATATGTTGGACTTCCTGCAAGTATAATCAAGCCAACAGCATACATCAAAAGTCAACCAACAGTGCTAGCTCATCTAACTGGACCGTCTTAATTTTATTTAGGGAATTATGCTGGTGTATGACATCACAAATGAGAAGTCTTTTGACAACATAAAAAACTGGATAAGAAACATAGAGGAGGTAGGTGCTTTGGAAAATACTTACTCCATCTTACGGTTTCCCTGGGACAAATAATAATCAAGTAATTGTTCACTTTCATTATAGTAGGCAAGATATATGGCCAAATGAGACTGTGCAGTGAATGCAAGAGTGGTTATTAATGGGGAGAATATGATCTCATTCATCTAGGGATAGAAGGTAGAAAACTTAAGTTTAAAAAGTAAGCATAAATTGTTTCACAACTGCTCTTACTCTATGACTTCTATTCTTTTTTGCTTTTGGGTGTGTCTAAGGAATGGGAAGGAGCAGGTTCTTAGGGTGTCTGCCTTTCACTGAGAAGATGACAGATCTGTCTAATTTCAGTTGTTACTGTATTGTGTGTTTGTCCAGTTAGAGATTTTTTTTTGACCTTTTCATTTGGTCTTGGGTAAGCTTCCTTCCTGCTACCTCATTGTAAATTATTTAATGGGACATGCTGTCAAGTAAGGATAGGTCATTATGAAGTTAGAGGAGAAATCTTAATTTTAGTGAAGCTGTAGATAGGTAACAGAATCCTACTGTTTTTCATTGGGCTTTTCTTTAGTATCATTCTTTGACTCTTAAGCAAAATTCCTGTATTAGTGACCAGTTTGATCCCATAGTGACTGGGCTAGAAAAGTTCTCTTGTTGAAGTGATTATTACTTTAAAAGCCTTTTATTAGTAATCTATTTTAAAAAATGCAAATGTATTGCATAATGATACTCCAACCAAATACCCCAGATGTCCATGCACCACTTCAAAGTAAAGTGTGTACCGTTACGTTTCCAGAATAGCCGTGTGCCTGTGCGCAACCTGGCACAGAGCTCATGGTACTGTACTTGATCTGCAATAATATTCAGGCAAATTTCATCTAGGAGTATTTATTCCAACATAATTTAATGTTTAAATATGAAATTGCTTGTTTCAAAAGTCAGTCTCTTTCTCAGTAATGCCTTCACATTAGGTAACTTTTTAAAAATAAAATACTCGTTTGTGGGTGAGTTTGACAGGTAAGTTTCTTCTAAGTAATGATGCATTTTGTTTCTGAGAGATTACTTTTGCTTCTTTCAGCATGCCTCTTCAGATGTAGAAAGAATGATTCTGGGTAACAAATGCGATATGAATGAAAAAAGACAAGTCTCAAAAGAAAAGGGGGAGAAGGTAAGCTTTGGTGTCTTACCTTATGTAGGAGCCTACTTTTCTTAGGATTTTGGCTGCTGGATATTTGGTATGTTTTAGGCATATGAGAGATAATGGGCCTTAAATCTCTTGTTTCAGAAACCTTTATGTATTACAGGATGCTGAGTTTGAGTTTTTTGTTTTTTAAATAGCACTTGACTGTCTTCAAGTTTGAATAAACTTAATGGTGCTATTGTCTTGAGGGGAATATCCGGTAAAGAACATTAACCTTTGCTATAGCATGAAGTATTCTAAATGTCAATATAAAGCTTTGTATATAGTTGGATCATATTGTACTCAGTTCGCCATGGTGGTTACTTACTCTTGTAAGTATTGTTATTAAAGCTTTAAGTAATGAGTTGTTCTGTAGAACGAACAAGCAAGAAAGAATACTATAAAATCTGTCATGTACACAGCTAAAGTAATGCAGTTGATAGTTACACAGCTTGTTTTCCATATCAGTGAAGAATCTATCTTACTGTTCTTTTAGGTCCTAAATAAATCTTTTGTGAGCAATTAATCTCTTTGTTGGTTTTGAATTTACCTGAGGGTATGGCCTGTTCTAATATTTTGTCTAATTGTCCAGTAACTTTAACGTTTTTGCAAGAGAAAAGCAGAAATTAAGCTTGTTTGGTTTTGTTTTTAAAGCTTGCTGCATCATACAGTATCTATTCTATTATGAACATACGTGAAATATGCCTTTTACAAAGGAACTTCAAAAACACTGAAAAACTTTAACCTCTCTTCCAGTTAGCAATTGATTATGGAATCAAATTTTTGGAGACAAGTGCAAAATCCAGCATAAATGTGGAAGAGGTAAGTGATGGGTGTTGAACTACTACTATTGAGGCATGTATCATGATGTACTGGGCTTTCTAACCTGATCTGGGACCTGAAGTCCCAACTGTGCTCCTGGGTCACCAGTCTTGTTATATAGAGAGAGCTTCTTTAAAATCCAGCATTTCTTATTTTTTGGTAATGTCTGGAATTGTTTTTTAAATGGATGTTAACAGAGTGGTTTACTGTTACTGTAGCAAACAGTTGCTTTACACTTCTGTGCCTCACTACTTAAATTGCGTTGCTTTTGGATGGGGAATAGGTGTAATTTTAGAACAATGTTTTGTGCAGGAAGTTGGGTTCAAGATTCTTTACTTTCAGAATAACGTGCTACTGTGTCAAGGAACTTTCAGGTTACTTCTAAATATGTGCTATGCAGATGAGACTGAAGATTCGTACATTAACCTGGAACACCAGCATAGACCGTCATAAGCTGATGTTAGAGGAGGAATAAGGATTATAATACTCTATCTATAGACTTGCAATCTGTTTTCCTGCAAATAAATATTGTGCTAAACCTGCAAGATCCCTATTTGTGAGAGCATAAGGAAATAGAATCGGAAGGAAGAGTGGCTCAACTCCAGTCCATCTTACCATGAATTGCTCCTGTCATCTCAGGGAAAGTGGAGGGAGGATCTTAACTCTATGAAAAGCATGGATAAGAAAGTAATATGTTATCAACAGGCAGTTACATTGAGATTCATTCATTCAGATAAGGCAGACCTGGTCTTCAATGTTGTTCCTGTACCTAATCATCTAAAAGCCTTTCGATGTGTATTGATGGGATATCTTTTAAAAGTCCTCCAAACACACGCTTAATTCAGATCATGCAGCTAACCAATTAACTAGAAACTAAAAGGATTGTTACTTTAAAATAACATGACTGATGCCATGCCAGCCAAGTGGGGTTTTTTTTTTTTCTGATTTCAGGGTAATTGTTTTACAATATAGTTAGAATGGACTTACTTGCATCATGCTGCATCTGGACTAGTGCTTGACCTGATTTTCACAGTGTCATTATGATTCTTACAGCAGACCATACCAGTGGTGGATAGCAGTAGTCTTCTAATAAAAAGTGCCTATCTTTTTCATTAATTCCTCCAGGTGGTTGACCTGCTCTTTCGTGACATGCTCTGCAATTTCATTTTAACTCCTGTAGGTCACTAGATGTACAACATTAGTTTGTGCTTACTCCAAATGACTTGGCTACCTGAATATTTTTTTAAATTTTCACATGAATAGTGAAGAAAGCATTAAAAAATGCAGATGGGATAGGCATTCAGCAAGGAACAATTTAGTCGTCTTTCCACCAAATGCTTAGCTTGTGAGGAATGACACAATTGTGATATTGTTGCGATCGGAAGTAAATTAATTTATTTTATTTGTTGTGATTTATTTGCATTAAACGAATGTCTGTGGATATATTCCAAACACAATGAGAGGTGAAATATTTACAGTTTTTTACATTCTGCAACTGTCCTTGGGTTGTTGATATCTCCAGATAGCCTAAAATCTTGCTTTTCCCTGCTTCTGGAGAATTGCAGAATTTTTCTGCTACAGAAGTTTCTCCATTCCTTCATACATTGAAGTCTGAGATGCTGAGATTTGCCAGAGTTGGGTTTTGGTGGGGGATGTGTTTAATAGGGATGTTGGAATTAGAAATAACATTATAAATAGCCCAGGAGCAAAAGTTCTGGAGCACAGAAAGCAAGCTACCTTAATGTGAATTCCCAGGTGTGCCATCCTCAAACCTCCCTGTGGGTTTCTAGTTGCAATGCACAGTGCAGTTTGGCCAAAAAAAAAAAAAAAGAGAGAGAAGTGAAGTATTTAGTGTATGCAGTCTTCTCTTCAGCAGGTTTGGTTTTTTTTTTTTTTTCCCAAGAGGTATGAGATGGGAAAGTCTGTTTACTTGCTTCAAAGATTCGAGGGATGGAGGCTAAAAATAAATATTTTTTTCTTCTTAAGGATGTTTATTGCAGTTTTAAGTAAACAACTATTGCTTGCACACAGAATGCCTTGCGACTCAAAGTGCTAGCAGTGGCCTATAGAATACTGTATTATTAATGTGTCTGGCTACTCCAAGTCTACTTTATCTTGAATGTGTCTTGTGACTAACTTTTTTTTTTTTTCTTATTTCTGCTCCTCACCAGGCATTTTTCACACTTGCACGGGACATTATGACAAAGCTCAACAGAAAAATGGTTTGTATTTCCAATTGGCATACAAACTAGATACATTGAAATGATTGCTATAATAGCTGGCTGAGTAGCAGCCCTACCAAAAAACTCCTGGGGATTACAGTGGATGGATGCTAGATCAAATTTGAGCAAACAGTGCTTTATCAGACTTTATTACACATCAGTGTGTAATGGTTCTTTATTTTGCATGAACATTAACATTGGGCAGCCTGAAGCCCATGTGTTCTTTTGAAATGTAACAGTGTGATCCTTGCTTTATTAAATATCAAATTACGTAGACACTCCTTCACTTGAGATCTGGATTGTTGAATAAATGTTTCTTTTTAAAGTAGGCAGTTTTACTGGGTGATAACAGGGTCTGGATAATTGCGGAGCTCAAGCTGCAACAAACCACCGCTCTGGTTACTGCTTTTCAAGGGGTGCGGTGGGGAGGGAAACTGGGAAAGCTAGACTTACTTTTTCTGCATTTTTTGATGTTGATATTCTTTTCTCTTTCAGAATGACAACAGTTCATCAGGGGCAGGTGGGCCAGTAAAAATAACAGAAAATCGATCTAAGAAGAGCAGCTTCTTTCGATGCACGCTACTTTGATGAACTTCTAATGATAGACTGCAGCACACTTAGAACCTTTTCTGCTTCTTTGAAAGCACAGGGTCACAAAGCCTCAGAAATAATACCACCAAGCTGCTGCTGAGAGCTCCATTGAACGTAGACTGCGATACACAAAGTACCAAGTGGATTTTGCTTACTAAGCCTATTGACCTGTCAGGCTCTTCTTTCTCAGATATGGAAGCTATGAAGTGGAGACACAAATGCAAGAGTTAACTTGTTTTCCTTTTTTACTTTCTGTTTTATTGCCTGTTGCAAAAGCTGCTATGTTTCTTTTAACTTTGCACATCCATATTGGCCTCTTACTGCCTGTTACAGCACAATCTTACATTTGTATTTGCACAGTTTGACTTGTAAGATTCTTAACAGATTTGTGCAGGTTTTTCTTTCTCTTTTTAAACACATTTATTTTCAAGCAGAAGAGCCAGGGGAAAAATTAAGTCTCAGTTCCATTATTTTCTATGCTGTATACTTGTGGCCATGACTGCAGTATGGATGTTGACACTCTAGTGATAAGAATTACTGTAACAATTGCCATTTAACAATTTGTATGGATTTTGTCTCTTAGATGCACAAATCTGTTAATGCAGAAGCTATGGCTTCTATTCTGAATGTAGTATGTTGCTTTTCTTTCTTTACCAGACTTAGCAAAGTTGTGCTCCGAATTGCCAGTCACTGTCTTGATTCACAGATGCACTTTTCAGTTATTTGAATAAACACAGTGTCTTTCCTCACTTAACTTCCATTTGTTAGCTCAAACTGTCTGCACCTTTTTTTGTTTCTGATGAGGAAGTACACTCTGGAGTTGAAATCATCGTCACAAATAGGCCTCATCACTATCACTTTAAGTGGCTTGTGGAAGCTGAGTGCATGGGTTTTGAGTAACCTCATTGTGGATTATTCATTTGTTCAGAAATGACTGCTTCTAAAGGTGACTTCCATTTCTACTGTAATGCTAAGGATAGTTCAGTTTGTTAGTGTCTGTAGGCTTTGACCCTTGACAATGCAGGCATCCAAAAACTGGCTTCCTGTGCAGTTGCTAAAGTTTATCAAGTTCTGGCTCTAAGGAAATGGTCACATTAGGGCTATAATGTACTACTAGTTATGCAGTTAATGATGAATGTGTGAAGCCCTCTTTGGTCTGCTTGAGCAGTTATTTTTTTTCATCAAAAACTGGTACAGTGACCTAGACTGTTAGAAGCAGAGTTGAAATGTAGTTGCCTTTTTTACTCAACTGAGCATTGTATAACCTAGTCTTTGTTCTACTACTTTTTTATTGTCTTCTGAAAACTTTCCTCGATGAGCAATTAAAACAGGTGCTTTAGTTCTGTTGATGTGCCAAACTTGGACCATTGTAAGCTTTAACTACAAGTTTGTGCCCAGCATGTTTGTTATTAGGGGATAGGTGCATTCTGTCATTGCCACAGTTAATGTCTGACGTGCTTGTTTTTGCTTCACTACATTGTCTGGGGCTGTAAACAGTGAGTTGGTTGTTACCACAGGTAACTGCTTCATTTTGTGGTGTCAGGTACTGAATTTGTCATCTCTAGGTCTGTTGTAAATGTTTTGAAAGTGAACGGGCCAATAGCGTTAGATGTAAAAACTTTTGATTGTAAAAGGTTTAACAGTAGTAGCTGGTTCCATAAAGTTTGAAGTGGTTATCAACCTGTCCCCACATGTAGTTCAATAGAAATAGTTACTGTAACTAGATGGTGAATCTCATAAACCGATGTTGCTGCACTAAAACAGAAAAATCTTCATGGCAACAAGGTTTAGTGAAAAAAAAAAGCAACCCTAACTGCTCTGTTGTCTACCCTTGATTTTTTTCTCGGGCAGCCTAAAGCAGTTATGTTTTCTGTATGGGGAAAAAAAGTGCTTCTATACAGAAAGTGTTGTGACACCAATTATGAATGTTGTTTATTTTCAGTAATTTACCTCTGACTATTTGGTGTCGTAATACTTTGATTTTTATCTCAGGGGTTGTCTGCAAACCAAAACTGACATGTTCTGTGTTTGGCACCGTTTACAGAATGCTTTGTATTGTTTTTCCTGTCTTCGCTGTGTGGTTAAATGTTCATTCGATATTAGTCTCCATGAACTTCCCTTTGAAAGAGCCTGTAAGTAAGTAGTAGAGTCTATGAAGTGCTTCTTGAAGCAGCAGCAAGTTGGGGTATCTGCTCTGTAGGGGGGTGGGGGGAGGGGGAGAGAAAAAAAAACTTGCTATTTTCTTACATTTAGCTGTGCTAAACTGTACATAAATGTGAGGTAAGACCATAGGAAATTCACTTTATGCATGATAAAATAATGCAGTAAATATTTCACCTTGCTTAATGTTCATGTAAAGTTCATGTTTTTCTATTTGTAGAAGAATTTAATGCAATTTTGTTGTCCCCTGCTGAAACTGAAGAATTCTAATTTCATGTGGTCTTATGGATAAGGTAAAATGCAGATTTCTCTCTCTTCCTTTGTTGTTTTGCCCCCACCCCTCTTCTCCAGCAGTATTAAATGGCTGAGTGGCTGCACTTTATTGGTGTGCTAACTTTTGGTCAGTATAGACCTCTTTCTGTGTACAGTCTGCCTTGTCAGACATTGAAAAATGTGCTGTATCTTAGCGTGCAAATTGGCTGTATGTTTTACTGGGAATTTTTTTAGCTATATTTTCCTTTAGACAAGCGGGTGATGATAAATGGTATGTTCTGCCTATGCATCAGATGCTGGGTACTACAGGCTTTTCTAATATCACTATGATTGCTTTGTGCAGTCTCTGTTGCTACTTCGCTGAAGATGATATAATCTAAATTTTGAAGGACTCTTAACTATACCTCAACTAGTTAGTGTTCTAGTGTCCATTAGAATGAAAGTCATGTAATTATTATTCTTTAAGCAGCAAATATATTTCTGTTTTGTTCCAGAAATTGCCATTAACCTTTCAGGAAAGGCAGACATTTTTTGGTGCATTTCGATAAAACAAGAATGCTGTTTATGCTATTGAGTTTTAGGAAATCTTTTTCTCAGCCCCATGTCTGTGCACTGTATCTTGATGAATTTTTTTTCTAAATGGTTTAAAAAAAAAAAAAGCTAAACAAAAAACAAACTGGTCTCAGTGCTTTGCAATTTTAGCTTTTAGTTTGTGCTCAGCAAAACACGCACAAGAATATTTTGTTGAGTGTGTATAGAATATTTGGTTTACTTACTGTCTGGAAGTTCTATTATTGCTAAAGCTTAAAACCACTCATGAAACTTAACGCAGCTCACTTTTCTATTTGGGGGACAGTCTCAAAAATGCTAATTGACTTTTCAGACCTGTAGTTCTTTTTACAGAAAGTATTTCCCATTGTAAGTACCGTTCCCATACTAGTCTGCTGAAGTCAAGTGAATTAAGTGGATCATTTTCACAAGTGAATAACGGAGTCTTGAATATACATATCACATTAAAATATTGTGAATGGGTAATGATTTGAAAGTACATGAGTAATAATGTAAAACACGTAAGTGTGGTGTTTGTGAAAATGCATCTGTTACTTTGTTATCTATTAATGTAACTGAAATTTTGCTATGTTAAACTTCATACGGATTGGTCTGTAGGTGATAATAGGCCTCTCCTCCATTCACTGCACTGCGTATGCCATTCTCATTAAATAAAACTTGTATTTGTTTCTCCCACAAAAGCAGGATTTCCATTAATTTTTCTTGTTTCTGGTGAATCTAAGTGTTTTAGTGCATTCCTATGGCCTTACGAACATTTTTGCAAATAAAACTTCAATTACAATTATTTTAATGCTGTGTAGCTACTAAATTCAGAATAAAAAGTATAGTCCTTGAGAAAATGCTTAATTTTGAAATAGAAGTGTTCTACTGTGTGTGTTTAAGCACATTTTATCTCTGGTATAAAGGTGTAATGTGAAAAGCTCCTGCAGATAAAAGTGAACTTGTCATGTGGTTAACTTGTAAACCTAACCATTACTTGTGTATTGATGTGTTTAGACAAAAAACCCAAACCCTACCCCTAAAAAAACCTTCACGCTCCAATGATTTTATTATTCCATGTGAACTTTTTTACAACGTGTGTCTCAAATAAAAGTTACATAATGAAAAGTATCTGGAGTATTTTGTATGAAATATTCCACGGAGTTGTTACACAGTTGGCATTTCCACTCTATTTTATACATCTGTTGTGGAACTCCAGCTGAGTTGCATCTGTAAAGCTTTGCTTAACTTCAGTGGCAAACCACAAGCGTTTTTGTATGGCTTTGCTTGTTCCTAAACTTGACTGTTCTTTGAAATATCCTTTATTCCTGTAGTGATTGCTTAAATCTAAGTATATTATTTCAGTGACCTTCAGCTTCATAAGGAACCATTTTTCCAGACATTTAGCATTATGAAACATCCTACCAAAGTAACTTCTGAGCAATGCCAGTAAAGATAACGAGACACACTCTTCAATTTGATTAAGAATTATCTGCTCACTTAAGCGGTTAACAGATTCTTTTTTCTTGTTGTTTTAAATCAGCATTACGTGAAAGGTATGACTCTTAGGTAACCTGAGGCACAAATATAATGAATTAATACAGCAAGTATTGTTTGTCCAGCTTCCTTCAACACTGAATATTGATAAATTATTGTGGTTTGACAGTTACTCACGGTTGATATGAAAATTAGCAAACTTAAGGAAAGAATGTTTTTTGTCTACCCAAACAAAAGTAGATTAACGGTTAAGACACCCAAGTGGGCACCCTTAGGAATAAATGGGAAACATGGATGACAAGTAGCTTCTGAAGTTTGTGCTTTTGACATGTTTTACATAAACTGTATTTAGCAGAAAGGATGTATTGTCTCTTTACCTTAAGCAACAGAAAGCTAGAGTTACATTCTTGTTATGCCTTGTTATTTGTTGGTTTTGTTTTGTTTTGTGGTTTTTTTTCAGACTGCTTCTGGTAGACAAGTTTGCTGCTTTAGGGCCAGCTGTTAAAACATTATTTGCAGATCCTCTTGATCTGAACTGGTTCTGGATGCTCAGCAGTCCTAAAATCGCTTCTGCAAGTCCTTCAGTTCTCACAGAAGTTAGTGGCATGCATCTGCATCCCAATAACATTGTAAATATGTTTGCATTTTCCATTTGTTAAAAGGAAATAGCAGGCATACTTACACTGCTTTAAAATGGTGATTTATTACGGTTCTTGGATCTATTTTTGGTTGCAGGCTAACAATTACTATACAAATAGTGCACACTTGTAGACCAGAGGCAAGTTGTTGGTACACGTGTAGAATGTATCCAGCTTTTATCATCTGGTAAATTGCCTTTTTCCTAAATGATTCTTTTTCCAACTTGGTTGACTAGCGGCTCTTTAGAATTCTTGAGCTATACCAAAGTCATCAATATAATGCAAGATTTCAAAATAATTTTTCTTTAGAAAGATTCTAATCTTCAAGAGATACATAAATGAAGCTTTTATGTTGCATAATGTTACTCTTGCCATCTAGAGGTTTAAAGAAAGGGCATGGAATGGAATGCGAAACATAGTGAGGAGAATTTTTACTGCTCTAGGATGTTTTGTACTTGCTTCAAAATTTTTTTTACCGACTTCAGCAGAGCATGTCGGCACTAAAGTTTCTGTTGTGAACAAATGTTACATAAATTCTCCTGAGCACATATTCAGTACATATTGTTCCTTCAGTTTGCGAAATAAAGTTGTAACTTGTGAGCAGGATACAAACATTTTCCTCATCTGAGGAATTAAGGTTGAATGAATTGTGGAAAGTGTGTGTAACTTGAACCCTACTACTGAATACATTGTACTGACTTCAAAGTGAACAAGAATTCTGCAAACATTCACTAAGTGTTGAGAATTTCACCCCATTTCTTCTTAAATTCCTTCCTTGAGTAGATGATCGAGATGACTTACTGCAGCTGTGTCGTCTTCTGCTTATGCCACCACTCCAAAGCAGTGTCTGTGGCACACAGCTACAGCTGGTATCCCAAGGCCTTGTGTTAGGCAGTGGTCTCTTAAATTGATGGACTTGTTTCAAAATGGTTTTTGATTTCTCAGGGAAACGTTACCATTGTGCTCACTAACCTTTCTGACTTGGTTTAACAACTTTGTGGAACAGCAGAAAGGGATGATGTTACTGTGATGTTACTTACCTTGGGACAGAAAATGGCAGGCTCCAGAGCTGCTGGGCTGGCACCTTTCTCAACTGCTTACGTTCACAGTTTGTGATACTTGTGGCACTATTTCATCCACATATGTACTTTTGTTGGGCTACTGGCAATGTGCTCAGCTCTAAAGAAAAGTGCAGTCTTAATTAACTACAACTGAAGTACAAATTATGTCAATAATGCTTTTTTTTAAAAAAAATATTGAATGTTTAATTTATTTTCAAGGCTGTTTGCAAATCCTTAGTGTTACTTTACTTTTACTTTCTCTTCTTTTTTTTTTCCCCAGGCAACATAGCAACTAACTAGCTCTGGTACGTATTCTAGATTAAGGACAGAATTTTTCCAAGAAGCCTGAGCAAGTTCTGTCCATGGCTAGCGCAGCCGAATACCGCTTCTGAGTTTCCTCACCCCAAATGCTATGACTTTGTAAAACTCACGTTTATGCTGTGAACCAATAAAATAGAGGGAAAAGGCAAGCACCTGTGTCAAATACTGTTTATAAGTAGCATTGGTAAGTGTACTTGAAATTAGGAAATTGCTAAGCACCGCCTTGTGCTAAGTGTGGGGATGGACAAGCCTTCAAAAATAGTATTCGGTTACTTTTGAGTACCGCGTCCTCTTTAGCACGCATGGCTACGTTACTCTGCGGGTATTTTATTCGTTTCAGGGGAGGGGAAAGGAAAAAACCCGTGTAGCACAAGGTAGCACTGAAGCCGTTTCCCCTCCTTGACTCCCCGACGCCGCTTCCCGCCCAGCGCCGCCC